TAAGTTACCATGTAAGACCTCATTCGGGGCTTTTTGAGACCCACGGAGAAGGTCTAGGCCCCCTGAGATCCCACTTTGCCTATAATCTTTATAAACTTATAAAACTATATCTTTGTGTATTCTTTTATTTCTTTTATTTTCCATTTTTCTCTATTATTTTCTTATCCCTTGCAACTCTACCAAAGGGACCCGGTTTTTTGCGGGGAACATTGGCCACGTTCCCGGCAGGGCCAGATCTGAGGGCCATCGGATGGCCATGTGAGGAGCCTGGAGCTAGTCCTGGGGGGGATGAGGGCAAAGCACTCAGGGGATACTGCCTGCTGGAGAAGGAGCCAGGTGGAGCAGGGGACAGGGTCAGGTCTCAACAGCAAGAGCGTCCTCAGCTCCGCCCTGGCCTTGCCATGTAGCCTGGCAAGCCCTGGCCCTGTAGGCTTCGGGCCAGCTGGACAGGTGTGGCCCAGCGCGTAGTACACAGGGAGAGAAGAAGGGTGGCCTGGGGCCATGGCAGAGGGGCGCTGGTGGCGAGGCTGGGACCCTCAGTGCAGAGGGGTGACTAGTTGATGGCCCTGAAGGTGAGGAGGGGGAGAGTGGTAGGCCTGAATACGAAGCGGTACACCATCCTTACATCCTCTTGGTTTAGTGTCTCCACCAGGAAGCTTTTCAGCACCTAGGACAGAAGCTGCGTTTCCATCTGGTCTAGTCAGCTACCCAAGGACCTGGCCCAGCCTCCAGCCCTCCCCTAGGTGAGGCACATGCTGCAGGGGAAGAGCAGCCTGTGGTCCCAACCAGTGCCATCCAGTTAGCCCTGAACTGCCCCACTCAGCCCAGCCCAGGCCCGCCTTAACCTGCACAGGCCCCTCCCCAGCACTCAAGGCCCCGCCCTCCACCCCGCCCCTCCCAGGGCCCTCTCCATTCTGCTCCAGCCACGCGGGACACCATCAGGCCCCGCCCCACTCTGCTCCCACCTCCCCCACAGGGCCACTCACGTGGTGCAGCAGGAGCAGCATCTCCACCTCTGCCAGGCGCCGCCCCAGGCACTGGCGCACTCCAAAGCCAAAGGCCAGGTGGCGGAAGTTTGTGCTGGAACCATTGACCTCTAGCCAGCGCTGGGGCTCATAGCGCTCTGGCCTCGGGAAGGAGGCGGAGTGGCGACCCAGCGAATGGAGGAACACCTGGACCAGTGTCTATGGACAGGACAGTGTGGAGGGAGAGGTCAGCTGCACCGTGAGGGAATGTGGCTGGGGGGCTCTACTGGAGGGGTGGTGGGGAGCACTCACCCCAGCTGGAATGTGGTAGTTTTGCAGCACCATGTCTGAGGGCAGGAGTCGATCCAAGATGAGGCCCACCGGGTAGAGCCTAGGGTGGGGGCATCAGTAGTGGTCTCAGCATTGACAGGGCCCCTCCCGTGCCCTCTGCAGCCTGCCTACCAGGAACCCCAGAGGTCCTGCACCCATGGGAAGCCCAGACCATGAGGAGGTGCTTCCTTGCATCTGCTGAGCTCAGCCAAACCTGCCCCCAACCAGAGCGGCCCCAAGCCAAGGAGGACGTGCCCAAAGTTGGCCCCCAGGATGGTGAAAGGGATTCCAGTGAAGGAAGGGGCCCGCTCCTTTGAGGGAGGAAAGGAGGTGCAGCGGGAATGGCTCCCAAGGCAAGGCTGCTTATCAGCCCCATTTTCTGGCTGCCACCCTCGATGGGTACTGCTCTTTAGCAAGGGGCCGAGTAGCTGGGCAGGGGGTGGGCAGTTGGGGAGGGGTCAGCCAGCACCTACCTCAGGGTCTCCTTGAGGGCGGCCCGCAGCAGGGGCAGCTCCACCAATGCCCTCTGGGGATTGTCAGTGATGCTGGCCTGGGCTGCCAGGCTCTCCTGGCGTAGGGCCTGCTGCACGTCGGGGTTGCGAGCCAGCTCAAAGAGTGTCATCAGCAAGGGGAAGGAGGTCTGCAGGAAGCACAGGTACGAGGCTCAGACATTGGCACCAGCAGGACCTCCTGCTTCAGGGCGCCCCTTTGAGGACGGTCAGGGGTGTGATCTTTCCCTGAGTCGTCCAGAGAAAGGGGACCCCATCCCAACCAAGGCCCACATGCAAATCTTGTCATCACTTCCTAAGCTGAGGCATGGGCTGAGGGTGAGCTGAGGAATGTGGGAGGCAGAGCCTGGCGATGGGGCCCTTGGCTGAGAGGTGGCATTGGAGGCCACTGACTGGGAGGTAGCATGGGCGTCACACTCTCTGGGGTGGGGATGGTTGCCGCCCTGACCGTGTCCACACTCCCTGCTGTGAGTTCAATGACATTAGCCTTGATGGCATCTGGTGACAAGTCTCCATGCAACAATAGCTCTGTCATGATGCCGCTGTAGTGTTCAGGGCGGTTGAGTGCTACTTCCTGATAGATTTTCTGGATGCAATTGTTGGCTGTAGGAAGAAGAATCAGCGCTCCAGCCGTGGAGCTGAGAAGCACCTCTACTTTGCCCTCCTCCTACACACCCTGACCCCAACACCCCCAAGTTTCCCTGCCCCCACCCCATGACCTCCGGATCAGTCCAGCCCAGCCCCTGCCTCAGCCCGAACTCTCTTTGACAAGACATGGAGGAAGCCATAGCTCTTTTATGTGGCCTCTGCTCTCCCTTAGGCTGTGGAGAATGGACAACTTGGCCACCAGTGTCCCTGCCATGTAGCACTGCCGGGTCCTTGGCCCTCACCATACTGGTAGATGTAGTCCCAGGCCTCAAAGTGCTCCTCCCACGTCTTGGTGCTGGTCCAGCGGGACAGGCTCCTGGGCATGTATATGAGCTGTACAGTGGATTTCAACATGGCCTCCAGGGCATGGATGAACTTCAGGCTCGCATAGCTGGGGTTATTGCCAAGGAGGCCCAGCCGCTCTCCAAAAAGTGCTGAGTTGCTGGCTGCAGGGAGGAAGGCACTGCTGAGCTGAAGGCAGCCCCATGACTCTCAGCTGCCTCCCAGCACCCCTGCCACATTCCTGGTCTACTCCAAAGTCGCTGAGATGGGGTCTTCCACCCAACCCCACACCTTCTATGGTGTAGTAGAAGATGCTGGACTGGATGTCCAGGGTCAGGCTGCCCCGGGCATTCTGTAGCACCTTCTCCTTCAGGGCCCGGGAGAAATCCCTTGCCACCGTATCCACCATGGGAATATACTTCTGGACGGCCTTTGGCGACAGCACGTATGGGTTCATCCGCAGTCGGTTGAAGCGCCATTCAGGCCCGTTCCTGCAGAGCAGAGACCAGAGTTGCAGGGTAACCCCGAGCAAACACCCGGCTCCAACCCCCTGTCCCACCTTCCTTCTTCCCAAAGAGAATGGGCAGGGCAGGCCGCTGACTGGGGCCCTTGAGCCAGGCTGCCTGCACTGCTGTTCTCCCTGCAGTATTTCCTCTCTGAGCAGCCTCCAGGTGCTGGGCCGCAGGCCACTCAAGAATAAAATGGGGATGAGACAGTGGCTTCTGCATGAACATGCTGCGGGGGTTCATGGAGTTCATTCCAGTGAACTTGCATGCCCTGGTCCTGGCACACAGGTCACCCACGCGGCCCTCCCTGGGTGGGGAGATCTTTTCTCCAGGGGAGGAGGTTGCCCCTCCTGTCACACATTGCGCCTGTCACAGACACCATGCCCCAGAGGACACCGGCCCTGGCTGACCTCTCATCTCCCCACCCTTCCCCTTCCTGAGCATGCTGCCTCTGTGCCCATAGCATCTGCCTGTTTCTGTGAAGTGTCTCCATCTTCTGTAGGGCAGAAACCAAACTGTATGTCTCAGAATACCCTCAAGACAGAGCCCAGAGCACAAGGGGGCTGATGGATGTCCTCCAGGAACTGTTGGGCAGGCAGTTACCCTCTCAGCCACATTCATGCAAAAGCACCTTGGTTTTTCTATGGTTATCTGCTTGTAGGGATTGACACTGACGCTGGTATTCGCAATATGTGTGTGCATATTAATGCACACGTGTGCATGCAGACACTGAATACATGTGTGTGCATACACATAAATATGCACAAATCACGAGCTCATAAACACACATAACATGCTTACAAACGTGAACACAAAGACACCAAAGCCCATACAATACACATGACTACAAATGCACACACACACATGAATGCAAGCCAGCATACATATACACATGCACACTCACACACAGGCATGCACGCATGCACCCACATACAACCGCAAGACATGCACACGTGTGCGTACACACACACACACACACACACACACACACAAGCACACCCCTTCCTTCAGATATGCACATGTGCCCTTCCCAGCCTTCTCCTGTAACTGTCCTTCCTGGGTCCTGAGTCCTTCCCAGATGCCCCCGGTTAAGGATCCCACCCAGGGGGGACTATTTACCTAAGCCTCACTATTCCCAAGAGAATCCACTTCCCCACAGGGAGTGTGGTGGCCATCAACCGTCTGATGTTCCTCCTTCAGCCTCTCCTCCTGTCCTCAGGGCAGCCTGTGTGCAGCTGATGGACTCCAAGCACCCTCTTCTCCCTGCCTACCCGTCCAGGGGTGCTGCCTGTCCATAGGTCGTGAGACACCCTCCAGGGCAACGGCTCCACCCAGTGCTTCACCTCCAAGAAGATAGGAGCCAGCAACTGCCTGCACCCATCCCCATCTGCCTCATGCCCGGGACCGGCTCCCCAGCGCAAAGGTTTGCCTGAGCTCTAGGAGCCAAGGGCACCCTGGGGGCAGGGCAGCCCTGGTGGACAGCAGGCTCTGGCACACGCTGACTGTGACCTGGGCCAGCGACCCCCCTTCTCAGGGCCTCAGTTCCGGACCTGTATGCAGGAGAACCGCCGACCTGGCAGAGCAAGCAGCCGCCAAGGCTGCGCAGTGGGCGCTTCCTAATGCAAGTGCTCATCGTTCTCCCTCCTCTCATGTGCACAGTGCCCTGTGCACGTCTCTACCACTGCCCTGCTTGCCCCCAGCGGCTGGGCAGACGGGACCCCATGGGCTGCCACTCCTCAGCGCTTGGTGGTCACCCTGAGGCCCCAGGCAGGGGTGATTTGGGGCCTTCTGTGTCTCGCCCCTCTGCGTGTCCAGGCTTCCCATCCGCCCATCCCAGCTCGCCCCTCACAGCAAGAACACGCCACATTTGTGCCCTCGGTGTCGTCTGTAGGCCAGCCAGGGCTCCACGGGCATCCGGCATGGGTGCAGAGTCTCCA